TATTTATTTATTTTTTATTCAGATTTATGTCGTTTGCTATGTGTGGTGCAGTTTCTATACTGTACATGTGATAGTACTTCCGGCCTCCAGCAGACGGCGCTGCGTCACCGCGGCTTCCGGATCCAAATAAGGAAATGACGCTGCGGCGCGGCGGCGGGTCCCAAATAGAAGCACGGAGCGGAGACACCGGAGACACCGGGGGGAGGCTGTCCGAGGGCCGGAGAGGGCGAGGAGGCTGCTGCCGACGGAGACCAGGTCTGTGAGCGCTTCAACAAATAAAATGAAATAAATAAAAAGCGTTTTAATTAAATTAATCAGAGACAAAGTGTGGAGTTAAAGAGCCGAGCAGCAGCTAGCAGGCTAACAGTTAGCTTAAACACAGCATCACAATTAGCACGTGTAGCGCCGCAAACACACAACTTACACCGACATTAATAAAACACACACAACAGTGAAACACACACCGACCCGCTGCTGGTTTAAACTCACATTAAAGTGTTTTAACTTGTGAAGCTACGTGCTAGTTGAAGCTAGCTCACCGGTTAGCTGCGGTTAGCATCAGAGCTACAGAGAGTTTAGTTGAATTCCGACTCTTGTTCTTTAAAACTATTTACAGAAATATCCTCAAACTAAAGCTCACAGGTCAGTCTGTAAACATGAACCATTTACGACAATAATCAGAAGGAAAAACAAAAGCAGGAACCAAACACAGACTGAATATAATGAGAATATATAGATTTAAAACGTTATTTACACTTTAAATCAGATTAAATCAAGTTTATGTGTTTATACAGCTCGTTTTAAACAACCTGCACATGTTAGCAGTGAAAAGCAACAAGTGGGAAAAGAGACAAACACAAGACAAAACAGGATAAGATTAAGGTTTACGCTGAAATAACTATAAAATACTAAATATTAGGACCTTAATGAACAACCATAAACATCTGATATTTTACTGTTTATAAGTCAGATTAATTGAAGAGTCTTCAAACAACCAAACTATGAAAATACAACACGACTAAAACACTGAATGAACCAATAAACAGCAGTTTTGTTGCTCTTCTGTTGTATTATTTTTGTTATTCTGACCAACATAGACTTATTTATGTGCTTTAAAGATGCACCTGTTTAATATTTATTTAAATTATTGCAGAAGGTGTGAAATAGCTGTTAATTGAAGTGACTTAATTAACCAGAAGTTTAAGCTGTGTGCAGAAATAAATCATGTACTTGGCCGCATGTTGTCGGTTTTAATGCTCATTTTAATTTTCTGTGAACATTTAAAGCTCAACTCATCGCTGTTGTTTGAGTATTAAATTAGTTTAATATTCATGTGGTTTTAAGGGTTGAGGTGACGCTCAGCGGTGCGTTTGTGTTGTTTTAACACACATGTTGTTGTGTTCGGTCACCCAGACGTCCTGGTCCAGATGTTTTAGAACCACATCAGGTCATCATGAGTCTGAATGTCGTCATGAACACAGTCCGGGTGTGTTTCAGTCGCTCTGCTGTCGGTCACGGTTTCAGAGAACAATTTAGTCCATCCTGGTCACAAGACGAGTGCTGACAGCTGATCTGACGTGTGTGTGTGTGTGTGTGTGTGTGTGTGTGTGTGTGGGTGTGTGTGTGTGTGTGTGTGTGTGTGTGTGTGTTGGCCTTGGTGATGCTAAAAACAGCGCTGAGGTGGAAAGTTTGATGGAAGCTCCTCCTGACAAACAGCCTCGAACACAGATTAAAGACCTTTAATGAACCCAAACGGGAAAACAAAAGACAGAATCAAAACATCCAGGAGCTAAAAAAATACAGAAACATGTGACTAAATAAAGAAAAAGTCCGACGGGTGATGAGAGGTGATGCTGTCTTTAACTTAACGAGGACAGAATAACGGTGAACTCAGAGTCACTGAGCTGCAGAGACGTTGTTATAAAGGTCCAGTCGGCTTCATGCTCAGTTTGAAATGTTCAACACACAGAAGGGAAACGACAAAACTCCCATGATGCAACATGAACAGAAACAAGTATAAAAATAGAAAAAGAAAAGCTGCTGTTAATGAATCCAGCCGACGTACGGCTGTGGGCTGCTTCAGGTGGTGGTTATTGATTATGATTATTGGTTACTGATCCGTCTGTTGTCCTGTGGTTGGACAGGATGGGCGACATTGCAGAGGACGAGGCGAGCTTCTACTCCAACGCCGAGGACTACTGGAGGGACGTTGCTCCCACCGTGGACGGGATGCTGGGAGGCTACGGCAGCATCTCCAGCATCGACGTCAACGGATCCAAGGCCTTCCTGCAGAAGTTCCTCGGGGTGAGAAGCTCGTTCCAGGAGGTGGAACTGGAACGTTGACTGTTCACGTCACAGACAGTCCCGTCTTTTCTTTGTTTGCTCTTTCAAACGGTATCTAATCCGTTGTTCTGTTTCTCGTCCTCTGCAGGACGGTGAGGGGAAGACGGGCTCCGGCTGCGCTCTGGACTGCGGCGCCGGTATCGGTCGGATCACCAAGCGGCTGCTGCTGCCGCTGTTCAAGACGGTGGACCTGGTGGACGTGACGCAGGAGTTCCTGGACAAAGCCAGGCCCTACCTGGGAGAGGAAGGGAAGCGGGTCGGGAACTACTTCTGCTGCGGCCTGCAGGACTTCAAGCCGGAGGTGGGACGCTACGACGTGATCTGGATCCAGTGGGTCATCGGTGAGTCAGAACACCGGCTGGTGTTTCACAGCTTCTCCTGACCTTCTCTGGTTTGTTTGGTGTTTTCAGAGCATCATGATGATCTCTGTAAAGATGTTTATAAAGTTATTGATCGATTTAATTTAAAATTTGCCCGTTGACCTACTTTATCAAGATTTTTCTTTTGTACGTTGAAATGTGAACGTTTTTGAACATCTCAGGAACTTTTAGAGATCAAAGCCTCTGAGCTCCACCGTCTCCTCCTCTCCTCCTCCTGTCCAGGTCACCTGACCGACGACCACCTGGTGGACTTCCTGCGCCGCTGCCAGAAGGCTCTGCGTCCCAACGGCCTCGTGGTCATCAAGGACAACGTCTCGTACGAGGGCGTCGTCCCCGACGAGGTGGACAGCAGCGTCTGCCGGGACATGGACATCTTACGCCGCCTGGTGGACCGAGCCGGACTCCGCATCGTCCACGAGGAGCAGCAGAAGGACTTCCCCAAAGAGATCTACCAGGTCCACACGCTGGCGCTGAGGTAGAGCCGGAGCGTCCTGGAGCTGTTAAAGCCAGAGACACGGTTGTTCTGGACTCCTCATCGGACTGACGTGATTGGACGGCTGCTGGACTTGGCCCGGCTGCGTCCTGGAGTTTGTACAGAACCACCGGTTTTAACGAGAACAACGTCCAGGTTCTGGCTTCTGGACACGTTCCTGCTTTTATCTGGTTGTTTACTGAAACGTTTGAGCTGCAGATGTGACACGAGGCCGTTTACAGACAGAACCTCTGCTGACGGACTGATTAGTGATTCTAATTAAAACATCATTAATGAAGAAGTTCTCCTGGTGTTCCATCGGTTCTGATCCATCGGCTCTGGTTCACATGAAACTTCATCATCAGCTGTCATTATTTAATGAAAGTTTGTCTTGATAAATGAAAAACTTCACGGGATAATTTGTTTTTAAAGACCAATGGTTCTGGTTCTGGTTCTGGTCAGAGCACATCTACTGCTGGTGGTTCTGTTCATGTAGAAAACCAGGTCTGCAGCCAGAACGGCTCTGGGTTTAAGAAAACAG